TGTGTAAGCAGAAGATGAGTAGGCGTTCTGACACCTGCAGCCTATTGTAACAGCAAAGTTGTCAGTTTAAACGGAGATCGGCCAAAAACCCTCGTCACTTTCGACGTCAAACAATGGGCAGGCAGGGGACACTTTCAAGCCGCATTCTTAAAAATGAGAATATTGGAGGAAGTCCCAGTTGGGGCCGGTGGGGATTCTCGTTAGCGGACTGTGCATGCGGGAAGTTAGATCGAAACTTTGGGGAAAGGGAAACAACGAATAAGCAGTGGCTGACACCTGACATAGACACTCGAGCTGAGGCAGGAGCGGGCTGGCAGGTCACTTGCGTGCGGGATTTCATCTTCTGTACAGCCTTGCACACCGCCCAGGATCTCGTTTTTATGTGCAAATAACTAAACAATTAATGATATTATTTTGAAACGTGTGAGAGACGTGGACGCGTACTGATTACTGATTATGATACTTCTTAACTGCATACTCAATTCAGCTGTGACTGTGCAATAATATGGTTTGGTGTATGATTTGGTGAACAAGAAAAAAGTATTTCGGTCGGATAGCAACCTTCATCAAGCAGCAGTCTTCGAAATGTATCCAAAAGCAAGTAGAGCATTTTCTTTTAACTACTAAACCGTTTAAATTAGCAAAAATAGCCTTTTAGCAACATGAAGCAGCCAGTACAAACATGTGGCAGCAGTATTTTGCATTTCGCCGAAATTTAGCTAGGATTATTTTGAGTGGTGTTTGTTGCCTCCACCAGCATTAGTTAGTGCACCCAAATGCATTCGTCGTATTCATGTGATGCAATTCTATCTCAGCTGAATATGCCGGACCCATTTATTTTCAACACCATGTTTAATCGAAGAAAGAGCATAAAACACAGGCGACCTGGGGAAGAACTTCCAAAGGAACCGGAGACATGGAACGATAAAAAAGCAGTTTGACATTTATTATTTTATATTTCGACCTCTTAAAGAGATTAACCTAAGCATATGTGACAAATTCTACTTAATGCATTTGATCCGCGTTTTATTTTAAATGAGGCGATAAATCCTCCCCGAAACACGCAGTAAACACGGAATGTCTTGTAAGTTTCCTTGGAGTAACGCAAAAGTAATCCAGTAAAGTAACGAAGTAATTAATCGATTACTTTTTACGGCAAGTAATTTGTAACGGTAAACAGTTATATTTTAGGTCAAGTAATTGTAATTGTAATTAATCACTTTTTTCGAGTAACGGGAGCAAGTCTGCTATCAGGTGGCCTATAACATACGCCCAGTACAACAGAGGGTGCCGCAGGGAGGTAAACCCATATGACTTCTGGTTCGATAGAAGGTGGAATGAGCCCAGACGTGATTTCAATATTAATAGCAAAAGTACGCCTCCCCCCTTTCTAATAATTCTGTCGTACCTGTACACACGAAATTTTGGATAAGAAGGGAACAATTCAGCATCTGATATGTTCGGATTCAGCCATGACTCAGTAACAGCAACAAAATCGGCGTTACATGTTTGAATCAAGAAATTCACATAATCTCTCTTTGAGATTAGGCTTCCAATGTTAGTAAACAAAATAGCATGAATAGAAGATATCTTATTGATAACATGGGGTTCAGCAGTTTGATTGTGAGTGGGCAAACGGGAAGAACGCCGGCATTGCGTACATCTTTCAGCAACCGAGCCAATAGTTAATTTTAAGAAATAGCGTTTTTTTTTTGTTAGCGACTTTATCGCTACAATAGTTAAAAAACAAGCTAGCTAGTGGTGGATCATGCTAATAAAACTCGAGACTCAGGAACGCAGAAGGGGACGAACGCAACACAACACAACCTTCTGTGTTCCTGAGTCTCGGGTTTTATTACCATGGACCCTATCGTTAACAGTTTGTTAAAGCTTTCACTGAAACACCCGGTATAAGTCCGTAGCTCTCAACTTTTGAGCAGCGCTCCAGGCGGGAAAAATAGAATATTTCGCTCGCATTTTGAACATGCGTCAATACGTTTCCCCGCTAGAGTTTTCTATACTCTATTCCATTCTAAGTGCCAGCGTACCAGAGGCCACAAGAGCGAGCTGCGAGCTTTTAGCGTCCCTGCCAAGCACGCGCGCTCGTCAATGCAGTGCGAGCATCGTTCAGGAGGACGTGCCTTGGCGAGTAGCTTCGGCTTCGCTATCACGTAAAGTGACGCATGCGTGCTCGCGGAAGCTATGAAAGAAAGTAAAGATGAAAGGAATGCTTAATGGGATGCTGCGGCCGCGAGCTGCATAATTCTTTTTTTTTTTTATACGTTTTGTTCCCGCGCATCTTACAGATGCTTGTACTCGAACGTGGCACGTGAAAAATCGAACGTTACAGCGCCACACGGATGGTGCAGCCAGCATAACATGGTCGCGTCTTGCGTAAATCTTACGGACGTGCTCGCGCCCCCTGCCCCAGGGCAGCGGGTCTTGCTCTGGGGCAGGGGGCGCGAGCACGTCCGGAAGATTTACGCAAGACGCGACCATGTTATGCTGGCTGCACCATCCGCGTGGCGCTGTAACGTTGGAATACAAGTATCTGTCAGCATTTGTAGATGCGCGGTAACAAAACGTTTAAAAAAATGAATTATGGAGCTCGCGGCCGCAACATCCCATTAAACATTCCTTTCATCTTTGCTTTCTTTCATCTTCCGCGAGCACGTATGTTTCAATTTACGTTGATAGCGAAGCTGATGCTACTCGCAAAAGCACGTCCTCCTGAACGATGCCCGCGCTGCACATATGCGCGCGTGCTTGGCCGGGACGCTGGAAGCGCGCAACTCGCTCTTGAGCCTCTGGTACGCTGGCACTTAGAACGAAAAAAAGTATAAAAAAACTGTAGTGGGGAAGCTTCTTGAGGGATATGTTCGAAACGCGAGCCAAATATTCTATTTTGCTCGCCTGGAGCGCTGCTCAAAACTTGAGAGATACGGGCCTATAAAGCATAAGGGCTTTTGCTTGCGAAAGAAATAAAGCGTGGTACATGCGTCTTGTGTGCTTTTTTCTTTTTTTCGGCCTACAGAGAAAGTCGGTGACAATTGAATTGAGTCCATGATGGGGGGGACCGGTGGCCGAGTGGCCTAAAGCCACCGTGGCTAAAGGTGTATCCACACGACGGACCGGGCCGCGGACCGATTGATCACGTGATGCGCGGTCCGCGGGCCGCCCGGCTGCAATGACCATCCACACGGCGGACCAAAAGAGTCGGTCTAACCCTCGACCTCACAGCTCCGCCAAACGCATGCAGTGAGCTGCTTTGAGGCTATTTGTAAGTAGCCAAGATGGAGGTTGACCGAAAGAGACGTTTGGCCGCGGTGGCCCTGGCGATGACTATTGAGGACGAGGAAGACTTAAGTGAACCGAAAAGGGCATGCATCTATTGTCCCACAGGGCGGGGAATCGCTCCACGAGCGCGATGAAGTAAAAAGTTGCATCGTCGCACCATGCCGCCATCGTCGTACAACAAAAGGTTCCTCTTCTTCGTCTTCAACAGTTGGCGCCAAAAGAACACGACTTTGGATTTGGATTCCAATCTAAACAACAAAAGTCAGCTTGTTGCCAGACTTAGCACTTCAATTATACTAAAAACGCCGCGGTCCGCCGCCAAGGTCCGGGCGAGAAAAGCGCTTGGCATTTCTCACAAGCGCGGGCCGCGGACCGCCGGTGGACCTCGAAAACCGGTGACGTAAGGTCACGTGATGCGCGGCCCGCGGACCAAAACAGCAATTTGGTCCGTCGTGTGGATACACCTTAAAGCGCACACCCAGCTCGACGCGCGTGGAGCGAAAGCTCGCGCTGCAGAACCCAGGGATCCTGGGCTCGAGCCCCACCCCTGCCCGTTTCGATCTGGATGAGCATCGTACCGGCGTGCGGTCGTGTATCACTACTGCGTGGTGCACGTTAAAGACCCCAGGCTAGCGGCTGTACCGCATTGGCTAAATTTCTCATCTACAGCTGAGTAACTATGTCGCCATGGATGTTCTGGCAGACTAAACTCCTGCTGTATAAACAACTAAAGACTAATTTTTTTTTTTTTTTCACGATGGGGCGGGCGCGAAATTAGGGAATTTTCTTATGTTTCATGGGTCTTTTTAATGGTCAGAAAAAAATGAACGGGAAGCGTATCACGTTGCAAATAAGTAATTCGGGTGTTTCTCAAGCTCTAAACTTTCCCATGGACATTTCGGCTCTTAATACAACATTTAAACTGTATAGACTTTTGAGCGGCATCCACAATAAATGCGAAATGCTGATAAACTGTCTGCAGGAACGTTCGTTTGACATGTTGTTAGTTTTGCTTCAAACCTTTAAATATTCAAAGTCTGTTAGAACCAAGCTTGACAACAAAGGTTAAAAATGTGTTTTATGCCTTGATTTATATTACAAAACATGCGGTGCGTGACGGATGGGAAGACCTTTAAATCCTCCTGTCAGGTGTGCTAAACAATCGATGCTATACGATGTCGCGGTGGACGCACAGTTGGAGATATTCCAAATTGTTCTGAGTTATGGTACATAACAAACTTCTAAAGCTTAACAAAAACGAAACAAAAAAGAAACGGTGAGTTTGCAGGCGAACTGGTGGATGTTGATCACGTCGAAAATTACCCGAGACTGTGCATGGTAAAAGATGAGAAACGTCGTGGAAGAAAAAGGACACACAAGAAGAAGGACGTCTCAAAGTTCCACGAAGTTTCTAATCTTTTACTAGGGTAATTTTCAAAATTTTCAGCATTTTCAAGCTTATTGATATTGGGGTCTTTCGTACACAGATGATTAATAATAAAGCCCACACTTTTACAGAAGACGCCGAAAACGCCTGTATCGAACCAACGCAAAAACACGATGTTACGCGTCTAGTATGTATACGTTGGAAAAGATACATCGGCAAACGATACATAACGTCAAAAGGGGAACGTGGGCCGGATGCTGGGAGCGGACGGGTACGGTTCCCGCCGAAATAATTTCAACGGGAAGGTCTGCGGGCCCTGGGTGTTCGGGATGATCGATGTGGCGAGCGGCGAACTCCGGATGGTCAGGGTCCGCAGACGGGACACCCTGACCCTGTGTCGCGAAATCCAACGGCACGTGGCGCCCGGGACCACAATAACCACGGACGAGTGGGCGGCCTATAGGAGGATTCCTGCGCTCCGGGACGCGGCTGGAGTTTCCCTGAACTACACCCACCTGACCGTAAACCACAGCCGGCAGTTCGTGAACTCCAGGAACGGGGCCCACACTCAAAACATCGAGTCTGCGTGGGGACCCGCCAAGGCGCTGCTCGTCCGCACCATGAAGGGGTGGAGCAACCCGGGTGCCCACACACCGCAAGGACGAGCGGAGGCAGACCGCATGCTGCAGACTTACCTGGACTGGGTCTGGTGGCGATCAATCAACGGCCCCACGAAGTGTAAGGACACCTTCCTGCGGCTCCTCGAAACCATCGCAAGGCAGTACCCACAAGGCTAAAAAAGGTAGGAAGAACTAGCACATAAAGGTTGCCGACATTTTCACCAAAACCCGTGCAATTGTTCATGTGTTTCAATGCACTGAAATTCACACATTTATTTTAACTCTTCCAGATCCCGCCAGTGCCAGGTCAACGCGACGACCGGTCATGGGGAATCGTTCCCACTTCAACATGGATGATATACATATATTACTACAAGGAAGAAGACGACGGGCTGTCTCGGCGCCACGGACACGAGCGAGGGGCTCGCGGCGGTGGCGGTCAGTTTGCAATTAAAAAGCTGAACCGCAAACGGACGTCTCCTTGCTTGGTCACAGAACAACGCAACAATGTATATATATATATATATATATATATATATATATATATATATATATAATAATAATAATAGTCTTTATTTGCTCAGGAGAGCCGCGGCACCGCAGAAAGGCAACAGCCCGTACCAAGGAGGCCCGCGGTGCCGCGTCTAGTGAAGGGGATTATGTGATGATGTAATATACAAGATGAGAGTGCTTATGATTACACTCTAAAAAAAAAGCGTGCCAACTAACACCTTTTAGGGTTCTTTCGCTTGTCCAATGGGCGGCACCCTTAAAGGTGCAGAAAAGAACCCACAAAAAGGGTTCTTTCTAATGAACCCTATTTCGGGGTTCTTTTCGGATCGTTTATTGGTTCTTCTTAATGAACCCTATTTTTGGTTCTTTTCAGAACGCTTCTGGGTTCTATTTAACGAACCCTATTTAGGGGTTCTTCTAGGATCCTTTTTTGGTTCTTCCTAATCAACCCTATTTCGGGTTCTTTCCCGAACCCTTTTTGGTGCTCTTGATGAACCCCATTTCGGGTTCTTTCCAGAACCCTTTCTGGTGCTCTTAATGAACCCTATTCCGGGTTCGTTCCAGAACCCTTTTTGGTGCTCTTAATATACCCTATTTCAGGGTTCTTTTCGTATCCTTTATTGGTTCTTCTTAATGAACCCCATTTGGGTTCTTTCCAGAACCCTTCTTCGTGCTCTTAATGAACCTTATTTCGAGGTTCTTTACGGATCCTTCTTTGGTTTTTCTTTTGTGAACCCTATTTCATGTTTTATTCGGAACCCCTTGGTTCTTTCAATAAATCCCGAGTTCTTTAGATTATGTTAGCGTTATTTTAGTAAACCATATTTTGTACTTCTAACCCTCTTTTATGACAAATGAGTTTTTTTTTACATTCCTAGTTAGTTTTTAGTAAATCGTATTTTGTATTTCTTGCTCCACAAGGTGCATTTTTTTCTACCAACCAAAGTGTCTTTAGATTGTTCATTAATCGCTAGCACTGGGCCTTTTCGACAGGTTGACAAACATCAGTCTGGCCAGAGTCAACACACTTCATTCCTGTACGTAATTAACTAGGTTACAGGCAGAACAGTAAACATCATGTCCAATCATATACTTTATTGGAGTAGCAAAAATTGATTCTTCTGTTCGCAGTAAAAAAGCTAACAAAATTCGAAACAGTTTCAAGACGAGACGGGTATCACTGCCAGCAATGTGCACACAGCTTCAACTGTCGTTCTGATGTCACTCACTGTCAGGACATCGTCCGGAAAGATGTCAAATTCATTTTCCTGGAGATGGATGAGTGGCATCAGTGTCCGGACTTCCTACAACAAGAAAGCAAGAATATGAACAGATGTATTTTCCTCTGTATTATTATGCTGCGAGTTGCTCATTTGCGCGCTTTCAGATCAATTATAATTGTATAGGTTTCACTAAGCATTTTATTTCTCGTTTAGCCTTACGCTCTAAAACATACCCGCTGATGTGATTTCCTTCAAAACATTTAGTGGGTCAATCAGTGCGATCTAGAGAGCGCGACCAGCGGATGACGAAGCGTCCCCTTCGAAGCCCCCTTCGCTACAACAATGTGTAAAAGCGAAAAATGGTACGCAGCATCAAGCGTTCCCTTTCCATCCAAGAAGTAGTAAAGGAAGAAAATCGGAAGTCAATGATTTACAATATATGTGCAGTACACGCGTAAAACAATGCCCAACGTGCCACCGCATTTTCTCTGCTTTTAAAAATGCCCGTGCGTCCACTTCCCTTGAGAATACTCGAGGGGCCGATCAATGCAATCTACGAAGAAAACTCGGCCAATGGAGAAGCTGAAAATATGTTTGATTTAAAAATGAAGTCTGTAACGTCACACTGAGCATGAAGTCAGTACGTGAACCGTCATGCTCAGTGACATCTCTCGCTTCATTCATATGTCTGAACATGCTTTGGCCTTTTTATTCGCCGAGCTCTCTTCGTGGATTGGTGTGATTGGCTTCTCGAGTGTTCTGCGGGAAGTAGATGCACAGGAATTTTAAGCATGTTTCAAGAAACGTTGGTTCTACCCATATTTAATTCTCCTTGCCCTACAGTCAGTAAAAGGTTAAGAAAAAATCTACGAGCTGGAGAGGAGGAAGCGGACAGAAGCTTGCAGGGGAGAGGAGAAACCTTCTCTCCATTTCAAGCGTCCATCGGCTTTCTTCTTTTAGATTTTTCTTAACCTGTCATTGACTTTAGTCGCTTATATTTCCTCTATATTATTTTTAGAAAATAAAGCAAGGATTGGTTTTATATTACTAGCTTGTATATTGAAGATATAACCCTGACAAGCTTGCATTACCATCTGTGACAATGCACTATACTCGGGGGTGACTTCGGCAATGTAGTCGAAGTTAAAAACGCCCGCGCATCTTAAGCGCCAATCAAGGCTATGCACATGCACTCTTCACTTCAGAAACGCCACAGAAAGTTGTTTCTGAGTATAAGTTAACCCTGTCTTAAACGAATGGCCCCGATAAGCGGTCATCAGTTCGTAATGAGGTAGTAAGTTACCCCAGCATATTTATGGTGGACGAAGGTAAACCTCTGCGTCGTCGCAGTCTGAAACTTGTGATAGATTACAAAAACACCAACTAAAGTATACCTTCAAGCAGCTCTTCGAGGTTCAGAGTGACGTTCTTTTCCTTTGAGGAACACCTGTGTAGAAGCTGTAAATGCCTCAATCTTGGCTCCCATGTCCTCCGGATGTCTTTGCCCAACGGCAGTTTAACGTCTTGTAGTAACTGAAAAATAAACAACGAATGGACAGTGTTGCTGGTTTACAAAAGTACATTTATGCGCTATGAATTTGTACACACGGATTGTTTACATACACACACACACACACACAGACATATATATATACATAAATTAACTAAATGACCACTTACTGTCACTATAGTGGAGTAGGGCTTGGCGTCAATTAAAATAATTTCGATTTACGTTTTCTTTTATATTGACTAGTTAATCAATTTATAGGTCGCGCTGATCTCGAGGCAAGATATTGTGTCCAGAAAAGGCCTAGAACAACCGATTTTTTCTGTGACAAGTTTTTACTACGTCTTATAAGGCTTAGTACATAACAACTTGTCATTGTGCCTCATACAGAAGTAAGGCATGGCTAACATTTAAAATAATATATATGTACATATTTGTACAATAACAAGTTCAAATATCAACTTGCCGTTGTGCTCATACACAAGAAAAGCATGCAAAACATTTAAAATAATATATTTGTACGTTATTATTTAAACTTCAAAACCACTCTAGATAATAATCATATAAAACACTTAAGTAGCCATGAGAGACAATTGTGTTATAAACGCACAAAAAGAATTAAATGAATATTCTTTTTACTTTTTTGTTTATAAGACTTTTCGTAACTCTAAATCCAACCAATATGCCAGTTAAACTCACTTGATTCAGAGTAAAACAATAGTTAATTAATCGGAATGTTAACTAATTAATTGCTTAGCCTTATTACGAGGTAAAATTATTTAATTTAGCACGTATCAAAAGCCCCTATCTCATTCACAGGCGATAAAACGGGTAGTAAGAAACTTTTGAAGTCCTGATGACCTGTAAAAATCTCGAAACTTTAAGACTAAATATAAAGAAGATAATATTGAGTTACCATTCCGGGAATCGTCATTGCCGGAAATTCCTCAAGGACTGTGAGGGCTCCAGCATCGCTGAGGATCCATTCTTGGCAAGACTGAAACGTCCGCGTCATGCGGTCTTGTATCAAGTCGACGTTCAGGGGCGCTTTAGTTATCTCTTCGTTCATGAGCAAAACATGACGGCGAGCACTCACGGCGTCTTCACATTTGTGAGTATCAACGAATCCCTAAAACAAAAACAATTTGTTACGTTGATGCGCCGTTTTCGCATGTAAGCTATTTACTTAATAGTTGCAGCACTGAATATAGGACCAAGTAAAACAGTTATTTTTATCAAACATACATCCACATTTGTGCAGACACAAAATGCACAAAAAGTTCGCGCCTGTCGATTTCCGCACAACACTCCGAGAGCCAATCGTTGCAACCTGCGAAGTCCTCTCAGCGAATGACGACGCGGAACATACGTTTAGACCAAGAAATGCAATCTGCGCTGTTACATTAAGCAAAACAAGCGAGACGTTTTGCATTCCCTGATGTCGCAGACAGCATCTTTGGGTCTAACCAAATGGTCGGCATCCTCATTAGTTGAGCGGTGCCGTAAACTGCAGTGATTGGCTCTCAGAGTGCCATGTCCCTAGCCAGTCAAAAAACAAAAACGTTTACAGCACCTATTCGCTCACGTTTATTGGGGTCATAAATACGGATACATAAGCTAATTAAAGCCTGGTAACATAAGTTTTTACATTTACGAAGAGATATCATTGCTCATTTCATTCGCGCTGTAAATTCGAAGTTCTGTTCTTGAGATCTTTCTGGCGGAAAGCTTGAACTCAATATTTTGTCATATTATATAAAGTCAGTATTGTAGTAATGAAATCAGTGTTCGTTTCAAAAACGTTTTTTTCTTGTGTAGTTCAACATACAAGACTGTCAAAATAATGTTTTTTTGTTTTTTTTTTTTTGCAACGTGCTTGTTTGGACAACTCCAAGTTAAAATAGCATAAAAACAAATTTCAAAAGACAAGTACC